AAGATGCATTTCGAATTATCATGGCCTTGGTAGCACACTTTGATCTATATTTGCATCAAATGGACGTTAAACCTGCATTTCTCGTAGTGATTTAGACGAAGAAATATTCATGAAGCAACTTGAAGGTTTTGTGGAGGAAGGAAAGGAACACTTGGGTGTGTAAGTTGAAGAAGTCAATCTATGGGTTAAAGCAAGCTTCAAGGCAATGGTATTTGAAATTCTATAAGATTGTCACTTCATGTGGTTTCAAGGAAAATAAAATTGACGCATGCATATATGTTAAATTTTTTGGGAGCAAGTTTATTTTTCTTGTTCTATATGTTGATGACATACTACTTGCCAGTAATGATAAGGATTTATTGTATGATACCAAAGAGTTTTTGTTTAAGAACTTTGAGATGAAGGACGTTGGAGAGGCTTCTTATGTTTTGGGCATTGAAATTCACCAAGATAGAAGTCGTGGTTTGTTAGGTATCTCACAAAAGGCTTATATTGAAAAAGTGTTGAAGAGTTTTAACATGTTGACAAGTAACGGTGCTGAAGTTCCAATCTCCAAGGGAGATAAATTGAGTAACAAAGATTGTCCAAGGAATGATATAGAAAGGGAGGAGATGAAAAACAAGCCTTATGCTTTAGTGGTTAGAAGCATCATGTATGCTTAAGTATGTACTCACCCCGACCTAGCATTTTCTGTTAGTGTTCTAGGTAGGTACCAATCTAATCCAGAATGGCACACTGGAAAATTGTAAAGAAGGTTCTGCGTTATGTACAAAGAACCAAAGATCACATGCTCGTTTACAAGAAGACTGATAAGTTAGAGTTGGTAGGTGATATGAACACATTTATGCGACTTAGTTAGCTTATTTTCTTGCATTTATGTTGTTAGTTCTTAGTTATTTTAGTATTTTAATCTATTTTCATGTGTTTGTAGGTCCAAAGGGCTAAAGTGGCAAGAAAGTGCATTTTGGAGCAGTTTTGGGCTTAGAATGGATGGCACATGCATGGAGCAAGGTGGATGGATGAAATTGAAGATCAAGAAAGGCTAGGAATATACTAAAGAGATGGAAGAAATTAATTCAAGACTTGGAAGAAAAGGAATCAACTGCAAAGAAGGAAACATGAGTCAAACTTCCTTATTTTGACTTTGTCAATCTTAATCTTCTCCTACTTAATTTCCAGCTGTTAAGGGGGTTCCTAATTAATTTAGGACACTTAAATATAAGTTCTAAAAGCCCTAATCCTAGTCAAAGAGGGATGCCACACCTATCCCTTTGAAATTCCTTCCTTGCCGCACAAGGAAGCACATTCCCCTTTCTTTCTAGGTTGCCGCATATCCTTTCCCTTTATCCTTAGGATTCTAACATTTATTTCTCCTTTTCCTTGTGGATTTGGGACCAAAACCTGTTTACCAAATTACATTAGGCCTTGTTTTTCTTAAACCTAAAAATAAAGGCCCTTGCCGCAGCTTTTTGGGGATCCATTCACTACCATTCAACCTCTCAGCCATTCTTTCATACAATTCATCACTCAAACCTTCACCCACACCTTGTGCCACAGCAAAGAAGAAGAAGAAGACCTTGGGATGTGCTTGCCATTCAAGCTTGGATTGTTGGAGCGTTTCTAGGTGTATTCAATCTTTTGTTTTCAATGTTTAAGTTTAATTATCTTTGTTTTGCGAACATGAGGAGGTAAACTTATTTTAGCTAGAGGAGACTTTGAAATCATGATTATATTTGCAATATGAATTGATTACCTCCAGTTGTGATTTCATAAATCGTGAATGCAATTTACTTAACTGCTTGATTGATAACTTATTCTTGTATCTTGATTGAGGGTGCACACTTAGGTTGCATGCATGAATTTGATGCTAGAATATAAGGGAGTTTCACCTAATCATCATGACCTTATATTCACAAGTAGTGGAGGTTGCTAATCACAATCGTGTTAAGTAAATTCCTGGCAGAAGTATTATGTTGTTCATAGTTACGAATGCCTTATCAATGCTTATGATTTTCACAAAGCTTAATGATCTTTGATTGTATCTCTATTATGCTGTTCATGTAGGGAACTTTTGAAGAATAATTTGGTTGCCGATGCATATTCCCTCCAATTCAATAACTTAAGGAAACTCTGATGGTTAATTAGTACTGTTCACGGTTAATCTGAGGTGTTGAGGTTCATGGTTTATTGGAGAAGCAACTGGAAATCGATTTGTATGCAAGTGTGTCATGTGTGGAGAAGGACCCTCTAGCTAGCTTATCACCCATCCATTCACCTAATTTCGTGTCAACTTTGCTTAAGTCTTTAAGTTACTTGTTTTTACTTTAAATTCGTCAAAAACCCAATCCCTATATTTTGTTGTGCCAAATTAGTTAGAATCTATCCAATTTGTGTTTTTAAGTGTTTTGAGTCAAGTTAAAGTTAGATTCGTCCAAATCATTCTCTAGTTTCTGTTTTGAGTCTTTTTGATTGTTTTGTGCTGTTTTGAGTCTTTTTAGTTTGTTTTGAGTCATATAAGTCTAGTTAAGAGTCTTACAGTCTAATTTTCTGTTTTTAAGTTTAGTTTTGTGTTTTTAAGTCAGTTAAGAGTAGTGTTTGTACCATACTTGACCAATCCCGAAACTACTAAGCACCGGTCAACAATATACCGTCAAGGACCCACAAGACTTTTCCTCTAACCAGGAGGCCAATCACAACATGACACATGTCGGTATCAGAGGCCAATCACAGCGCAACACGTGTCGATATCAGAAGCCAATCACAACACGACACGTGTCAATGTCAGAACAAAGTTAGAAACTCTCTTCTATAAAAGGGGATCATTTTCCCACAATAATCCCTAATGTCATTTGTACTAAACTATTCACTAAAACTCACTAAAAGAGAGCTTGAACCTATGTATTTGTGTAAACCCTTCACAACTAATGAGAACTCCTCTACTCCGTGGACGTAGCCAATCTGAGTGAACCACGTACATCTTGTGTTATTTGCTTCCCATATTTATCCACACTAATGATTAAAGCAACCTAGCGAAGGTCACAAACTTGACACTTTCTGTTGTACCAAAGTCCTCGCCGATTTTGTGCATCAACATTTGGTGCCGTCTGTGGGAATCATACTTATTCTTACTCTCTCTAGCTTTGTTAAGCTGGTTTCCACCATTCGCACACTTTCTTTCAACCAGGCACCCTTCTCCAACATGGGGAGTGAAGGGAGCCATAGCATGCAGAACGACACCCTTCTCGCACTTAGTGCAAAGCAACGAAAAAAGGAACGAAAGAGGTTTGCTCTTCAAGCTAAAGTCGATGAGCTAGAGGCTCAGAACAACAAGATAGCGATAAAGAATGAGATCTTCCAGGAGCAGTATGAGAAGCTTTTCGGAATGCTCCATGAAGCTAGGCATACTCAAACACACGAACTCATCACGCCCGGGGAAGTTAACCACCACTTGGGTACCCTCCAACACGGGGGATCACCTGCCTTTAACATGGATATCCCTAATAGGGAGTGAGTTACTCATCAAGGTGTTGATCAACATGAGACCTCTTTCGACCCAGCTGCTTCGACTCGAAGCAGGAGAAGTGGAGAAAGACAGCTTCTTGCAGAAGGAGTAGAAGGATCAAAAACCGTTTATCGCGACTGTCGGGATTTCCTAAGGCAACGTCGAGAGTACCCCATCCACATAAGCTCGAAGATCAATGATCCAAGGATTTCTGAAAGGTTCGATCCTCTTCTATGCCCCAAGCCAATTGCCAATCTAGGGAATAAGCGACATGTCCTAGAGGAATATAAAGGTACGGGGGACTCAGGGGCGTTTCGACAGGCTCGCCCTGGAAGTCAATACGGTGAGTCCAAAGAAAAATCCATGCCCTTGACTAAGCTTTCCTACTTCCAAGAGGAGTTGGAGACTTACGGAAGAAGGATCCAGTAGTACCTGACTTCACTTAGGACCCCCTTGTCCTACAACTCCCTAAGGAAGTAAACAAGTTGAAGGCCGAACGTCAGGCCGAAATACCTGACTGGAACCAACCTAGGCCTGGCCCTCTTACAAGGAGGATCCTTGACACCCCCTCCAAGCAAAGACAAAGCAGAAGCTTAGCTTACAACTCTCCACTGGAAAGGAGGACCCGATTGAACACTTTAACCTCTTTGAGTCCACCATGGCATACCGGATGCACACTGACGAAGAACGATGTCTTCTTTTCCCCTCTACCCTCTCTGACGGAGCTCTGAATTGGTATTGCCATCTTCCATCTGAGACAGTAGACTCATTTGAGGAACTAAGGAAACTATTTGTCTCTCAACACATCTTCCAGACAGATCGCTTGCATTCCGCAGATGACTTGTACACTATTCGCCAGAAGCCGGATGAGTCACTACGAAAGTATGCCGGCGGCTTCAGCCATGAGTATTCTCGTTGCGCTGAGGCATATGACAAGACCGCCCTTAAAGCCTTCACGGCAGACCTACGTGACTGTTTCTTCAAGTACATGATCAATGCTAACACTTGGAAGACTTACTCTGAGGTAATGGCACATGCTTATAACCATGCCTCTGCCGAGGCAAGGACATATCAAGGGAAACTCTCTATAGCCATCCCTTATCAACAAATGGGGAGTGGAAGCCAAATCCAACCGAATGAGAAGACCTCAACCTTCCAAACAGCAGCGACGCTTTCCCCTGCCCTACCTAATACCTCGCCAAGTCAACAGGCGTATCATTCTTAAGGCAAGAGGAAAAACTTCCATCCTCACCAGTCTTATTTTAATAAAAAGAGTAAGGGGCACTATTGCAATAACCAAAGGTATCACCACGATAATACCCGCCCCTAAGCAATCAATGTAGTGGGCCTAACACGTGTCAAGAATGGTCCTACCCCAAGGTATGAGACATACACACCTTTGAACGCCACATGCACGGCCATTTACCCCAGTATAACTCACTTGATACCAAAGCCAAGGCCGAGGGAGCCAGATTTCAAGTCCACGAAGAACACAGGCATGTTTTATGGTTACCACGAGTATAATGGCCATGACGGTGAGAAATGTATCACCCTCTGTGATCATATTGAAGCTTTGGCATTTGAAGGAAAAATTGACCAATTCCTTCTTCACAATCCGAGGGATAATCGCAACCAACGCCAAATGAATGTGATATATTCTATAAGGGGTGGCACACCCATATCTGAATCTTCCAACAGAGCCATGAAAAACAATGAACGAACATTGAAGCCTGGCTACCAAGTGTTTCACGTGGAAGACATCAGGAGAGGCAAGTATCAAAAGCCTAATTGGGATCCAATATGTTTCTACCCTGAGGAAGAAAGAGGTATCATCTATCCTTACAACGACCCACTGATTGTGGAGGCTCACATAGCCAACTTTGATGTACAACGAATCCTGGTAGACACGGGGGCGTCGGTCAATATCATGTTTGCTGAAGCTTTCAAAACACTTAATGTAGCTGAACACTTGCTCGATCACTTGATTTCTCCTCTGATAAGCTTCTTTGGTGATGTCGTGCAACCTTTAGGGAGCGTACATTTACCCTTCACTATCGGTACAGGCTCGTACACAGCCACCATCACCACTAGCTTCTTGGTAGTTGATTGCCCAACGACATACAATGTCATCTTTAGGTGCACAGGCATTAATGATCTCAAGGCCATGGTATCCACATATATGTTGTTGATGAAATTTCCAACCCCCTATGGCAATGGTTACATTAGAGGAGATCAACTTAGTGCACGGTCATGTTACAACACTTCAGTCAAGCAACAACACTTGCATGTACCCAAAGAAACACTTTCTATACATGACCAAGTTATCAAGACCAGCTCGGACAAAGCCAACTTGAATATTCACGGTGGTAACAATCAACCTGACGATCCTCGAGATGACTCTTTCACTTAGCAAACACAACCTGCTGAAGAGTTGGAGAAGGTCTCTATCTCAAAAGATTATGCAAATTGCATAGTGAAGATTGACACCACTTTGTCACCACCCATTCTGTTGGCATTGATCTCTTTTTTACAAGAGAACACTGAAGTCTTCGCCTGATCATAGGAGGACATGCCAGGCATCTCTCCCGATATCATCTATCATCGCTTGAGTATTGATCCCAAGACTAAGCCGGTGAGACAGAAGCGAATATCTTATGATGCTGAACGATATGGAGCAATGAAGGCAGAAGTTGAAAAACTCAAAAGCATAGGCTTCATCCGTGAAGTTAATTATCCAACGTGGATAACAAATATGGTCTTTGTTAAGAAAAATCCGACCAAGGAAAGTCTCCTGCTTCAAAAGATCTTGTGGAGAATGTGTATCGACTATACCGACTTAAACAAGGAATGCCCGAAGGATAGCTTTCCCTTTCCTCTCATTGATAGACTTGTAGACTCTACAGCAGGGTGTGAACTCTTGAGCTTCATGAATGCTTACTCAGGGTACAATCAAATCCTTATGAACCCTTCAGACCAAGAACACACGACCTTCACCACTGATAGAGGACTATATTGCTATAAAGTCATGCCATTCGGCCTAAAGAATGCAGGGGCGACTTATCAAAGATTAGTCAATTCAATGTTCGCTGAACAGATTAGGAAAAACATGAAAGTTTATGTTGATGATATGTTAGTTAAAAGCAAACATGCTGACCAACACATTGCCAACTTGTCTGAAACCTTCTCCATCCTGAAGAAGTATTGAATGAGGTTGAACCCCAACAAATGCGCTTTCGGTGTGGGCTCTGGAAAATTCTTGGGCTTCATGATTAGCTAACGAGGCATTGAAGCTAACCCCGAGAAGATCAAAGCAATCATGGACATGAAAGAACCAGTAACCTCAAAAGACATCCCGAGCCTTACTGGAAAGGTGGCAGCCTTGACCAGGTTCATCTCTAAGGCCACAGACAAATGCACTCCTTTTTTCAAAGCACTTAAGGGAAGTAAGAAGTACATTACGTGAACCGATGAATGTGGCAAAGCATTTAAAAACCTCAGGGAGTACATGAGTAAAGCCTTTCTGCTTTCCAAACCTGAAGTTGGCGACACCCTAATTGTCTATCTATCTATCTCAACTTCAGCAGTTAGTTCCGTCCTTATTCGTAGGGATGGTAATATCGAACGACCTGTTTACTATGCTAGTAAGGCTCTAAAAGATATGGATACACGATACTCTAACATTGAGAAATTAGCTCTAGCATTAGTCATGTCTGCTCGGAAACTTCGCCCTTAATTCCAAGCACACTCTATTTTCGTGCTTACTAATCATCCCCTTCGATAAATACTTCAGAGTCCTGATACTTCGGGGCAAATGATCAAATAAGCCATAGCACTGGGAGAGTTTGACATCTTCTACCACCCAAAGCTAGCTGAAAAGGGCCAAACAGTTACAGATTTCATTGCTGAATTCACTTATACCATTAACATTTCTCCTAGTATGGACTCTATATGTTGATGGCTCATCCAACCAACAGGGTTGTGGAGCAGGACTAGTCCTGACTACCCCGACAAAGTGGCAATAGAGTATGCTCTTCGCTTCAAATTCAAGGCGTCAAACAATGAAGCCGAGTATGAGGCCTTTTTAGCAGGCTTACGTTTGGCCAAACACCTTGGAATTAAACAAATTAATATCTTCAGTGACTCCTAATTGGTGGTTAACCAGGTCATGAACAACTTTGACGCTAAGGATAACTCCATGGCAGTGTATTTTGCGTAAACACAGCTTTTGCTCAAGCACTTCCACTACCAGATCACCCAAGTCCTCGAGCAGCAAACAATCATGCAGACGCTTTGGCTCGCCTTGCTTCAGCAGTGAAAGACAAGATTGGGAGAAAAATTCATGCCGAATTGTTGGCAACACCAATCACCATGGTCACAGAAGTGTGCAACTTGCAACAGGGGGATAGCTAGATCACCCCAATTTATAAATTCCTTGTTCATGGCACTCCCCCAAATGATAAAGTCCAAGCTAAACAGATTCGATACAAGTCTACCTACTACCTGATCATTAATGACCAACTCTACAAGCGAGGTTTTAACCTACCATACTTACAGTGCCTCACATCTGCGGAAGCGGAAATTGTCATTCGAGAAATACATGAAAGAGTCTGTGGAGATCATGCTGGATCTTGATCCCTAGCACACAAGGCTTTTCACCAAGGATATTACTGACCAACACTTCACCAAGATGCCATTAGAATATCCCGCTCATGTGATAAGTGTCAACGCTATGCAACTATTCATCACTCTCTTCCCGAGCCTCTTACTCTTATGATCAGCCCTTGGCCGTTCATCCAATGAGGACTTGATTTGATTGGCCCAATGCCTACAGGAAAGGGCAAGGTTCGCTATGCAATCGTTGCAGTTGACTACTTCACAAAGTGGGCCGAAGTAGAACCCTTGGCAACCATTACTGAGGCAAAAATAGAAGACTTCCAAGAACATTCTTTGCAGATTTGACATTCCTAATGCGATAATCACGGACAATGGGCGACAGTTCGACAGCAAGAAGTTCAGGATGTTTTGTTTTAAGTTCAACATCAACTTATGTTTTGCCTTCCCAGCTCATCCCAGTCTAACGGACAAGTTGAGGCCATCAACAAAATAATCAAGCGCACTTTGAAAACCAGCTTGGACAAGGCTAAAGGTTGTTGGCCAAAATTTATAGCCCAAGTTCTTTGGTCATACCGCACTTCATATTGGACTTCAACAGGAGAAACTCCATTCTCACTTGCCTTTGGTACAGAGGCTGTTGTCCTTGTTGAGCTTGAGCAAGCAACGTTCCGAGTCCATAACTATATGTAAAGTGAAACTGACAAACAACTCACCCTCAACTTGGATTTAGTCGAGGAACACAGAAACCAAGCTCACTTGAGGAATGTCGCCTACAAGCAGCGCATCTCCAACTACTATGACTCAATAATTAAACCTCGCTCTTTCAAAGTGGGGGACTGGGTATTGAAGAAAAGATTACTCTGCGACAGAGTCCCGAGTGAAGGCACGCTTAGCCCAAATTGGGATGGACCGTTTGAAGTTATTGGCATCAGTTGCCCTGGTTCTTACAAGCTAAGGAGCTCCGATGGCAAGACTCTTGGCCATCCATGGAACGCTGATCACTTGAAGTACTATTACAAGTAAACTCATACTGTACAAGTGTTGAGCTACGACCATTCGGCATCCTATGTAATGAAGGCCATTTGGCATCAATTCAATAACGAGGTGATTTAGACAACTTGGTCCTAACTCCCTTACATCCCTATCACTGAAACACTCAGGTTTGAAGCTTCAACACGAATGCTTACAACATGAAATAAAGTCTAAGTATATGTCAACATGACTTATATCCAAACAAGGGATTCCTTTATGCATAGCAAAACATTCATAAGCATCACTCATGTCAATCAACATAAACATCATACATTCCAACACATTCATACATAAACATCATACATTCCAACACATCCATACATAAGCCAACTGTGCTTCGAAAAAGTTCAACACACTTTGTGTCATTCAACACTTGCTACAATGTGCCTCGACACCTTGCCCTTATTCTCACCAACCAAGTGATGAAATGTGAAGAAAGAACTCATCTTTATACCACCAATGAGGTGATGAAATGTACAACCTATACTCTCCTTCATGCCACCAACCAGGTGATAAAATGTTCAACCTGTACTCTAATATCATTTGGCAACTTGCCACTCATGCCACCAACCAAGTGAAGAAGGAACTCATCTTTGTGCCACCAACCAGGTGATGAAATGTGATGAAAGGTGGTAAAAGAACTCACATTCGTACCACTAACCAAGTGATGAAAGCAACCCATCATTCATTCCACCAACCAGAAGACGAGTGGTACAACTTGTACATTTGAACTCCTAGCATTCACAAATAATCAAAAACCTTCAAGCTTTACAACTCAGCTAGGGGAACACTTATGCCTAACAAGAGTTATAGTCACCAACAAAGTCTTATTGCAAGCTAACAACGGCTTCAGTGCATGGTATACAAAGATCAAGCTCTTCAGCCCTCTTACATCTGCTTCAAACATTTCTCCTCTGTAACAATGCAAACACTACAACTCATAAAAAGCTTCACACACTCTTGATCAAGACTGTTCGAAGCAAATTCAATTTATATGGTTCATCCAAACCTTCGACTACTACAAGGTGTGGCTTGCATCACAGTCTCTTGCTCAACAGTGTGGAAGCAAAATTTGTATATGTTGTCTCTCCCGCATTTTCAAATTTCTAATTTTCCCAAAAAAAAAAAAAAAAGAATTGGGAAATTCAACAACTTCAACAAATGGAGGGTAACTACAACTCTCAAAGATTCACACAATCTTGATCAAGATAGTGTGAAGCAAAACCAACTTATGGTGCCAACAAAAGCTTCAACAAGTGAAGGGCAACAAAAAAATGTCAAAAGCCTCACACACTCTTGATCAAGATAATGAGAAGCAAAATAAATTTATGGTGCCAACAAAAGCTTCAACAAGTAAAGGGTAACAAAAAATGTCAAAAGCCTCACACACTCTTGATCAAGATAGTGTGAAGCAAAACCAATTTATGGTGCCAACAAAAGCTTCAACAAGTGAAGGATAACAACAATTTTCAAAAGCTTCACACACTCTTGATCAAGATAGTGTGAAGCAAAACCAACTTATGGTGCCAACAAAAGCTTCAACAAGTGAAGGGCAACAACAAATGTCAAAAGCCTCACACACTCTTAATCAAGATAGTGTGAAGCAAAAAAGCTTCATCAATGGAGAGGAACTACAATTCTCAAAAGCTTCTCACACTCTTGATCAAGATAGTATGAAGCAAAATCAATTTATGGTGTCCAACAAAGCTTCAACACAAAAGCTTCACTTACAAAGTTTCAACATTAAACAAAGCTTCAACATCA